TGGGGGGGGGGGGATATAAAAGTCAAACTTGGGTTTGCTTTCGAGGGTAGCTGTTTGAGGAGAGTGAAACCCTTAACCAGCAAAAATGAAAACACAATGTCGTCAAATAAAAAATTGCAGGGAGGGAGAAGATTAATAAATATGCCATTATCAGAAGCATGTCAGTATCCGACACGCATTGGATACCCACTTGCCGGTGCGATGAGCGTATTGGTGCTCATAGCTCTAGCTCATACCTATAATAATTTTGTTGAAAGGAAATAAATGAAGTCAAAGACAACATGTATGATTACTAGACACATCTGAATTTCCACAGGATTACCTATAGTGCAGAACATCTTCCTACCAACATGAGATATATCACAGCTTTACAGAAGTGAAATTTATCTAGAAAAATCCTTCTCCTTCCTTTTTTTCGGAAGAAAAGGAGGATCCAAACAAAATCAATGAAACGGAAGAAATCCGAGTGAAAATGGAAACTTCCAATCACATGAACAAAGTGATTTAATGAGCAAAATGGTAACTTCCAATCACATAAACAAAGTGGAATTTAACGAGAACAATGGTAACTTCACTCACATTAACAGCATTAGCAGAACACAAATTAATAGTAAAGTATGAAATACTATTTGTCGTTACCGTTGCAGCAGGAGCATTTGATGTGGTTGAACCTTCACCTGATGAGCTCTTGTTCTGAAATATTTCATTGGAAAAAAAAATTTAAAAATCTACTACAAATGTAACAGTTACTAACAACTCGAGACAAGTAGTGTCAAAAGCATCAAAGAAATTCTTAAAAGGAATAATCAAGGAGAAACCAAAGGCAGCATCCTGGCAACAAGATCTGGTTACAAAACAAACACAAACCTCCATAGATTGGGTCCCCACAAAGCTACCAACTTTGGGAGGCAGGGGCACCACTTCCTAGCTGTTTTATATGATGATGTGGAACCATGCAAGGATGGTAGTTGCCGACTTGCCGTACATTGATGAATGGGGCTATGAGGATTCGGCTGCTGGCTTTGGTGGACAACAGACCAGAAATCAAATGCTGCTATTGAGTTGGAAATTTGGGTTAGGCTAATAAGTGGTGGAACGATGGATCAGAATAAGAAGGCAAGATTATTTTTTTGGCTGGAGGAATATAAATTTTGGACAGCTGAACTCGGTTCAAGCAAATCTCTCATTTTTGTTATTGTTGAATAGTAGAATCAACAGTAACTTTCTTCGCTAAACAGTGGCATGACTGTAACTTTTTTTTAACTGCTAAACAGTGTCGTAAACTGTAGCCTGTCCATGGCTACCTTTTTTTTACTTCTCCTTTTTTTCATTAAAAAGGCCTCAGTGAGCTAAAAGGGTAGGCTTTGACAACAATTAGTGGAGAAGAGAGAGAGAGAGAAGAGAAGAGACCTTGAAAAGAGTTATAAAGACAATCACAATTATTTCAAAAATAAGGTATAATTTATTCAACAAGGCTAGTCCTATTTGTACGTAAAATTCATACCAATACAAGGTAAGTTACCAAAATATGAAATTGGCAAATTTCAAATTAATAAATCATAATATAAATTTTATGGTCAAGTCAAAAAGCATGTAATTTGGCATGTGATCTTCCATGTTAGGAAGGTAATGCCTTTACTAGGAATGTAATATCCATCACCTTCATATCAGATAAAGCTCCCTAGAGCAAAGTTCACATATTGATGTGCATCTGAATCCAACATAATCTAAATTCATAGCCTCTCTACTAATTCCATGTTTAACACAAAACAAAGAATGGGTCATGTGCATTATTATCAATTTAGGCCCTTGATTCACATAACTGGCATTACAGTTGAAAAAGCTGGTGAAACATGCATAAAGTAATATTCATTTGAGAATATCATCTCGAAATGGTGGTAAACCCATGTGCCTTCACAGGCATAAAATGAAGATTCCATTTTTCTAAACTATTGTTCCTGCTGAAAATCTTCTGGCCATAAAAATATACTGCAACGACAGAAGGCCATAAAGTCAAAACAATAAGGTAAAATGTTTTTGAAACGAAGAAACAAATGATAAACAAATTGGCTGCAGCCTATAATAGTGTTCTGAAGGTAAATACGGATTATTTCTTCTCATGCACACAGTGACAAGCAACATATCAAGTTTTACCTTTGTAAGCATGATGACAACATAACTATTCTCAGCAACATTATTTTCTTCCAGTGTTGAGCCATCCTTGAGAACTTTTCCTTGATAGATTAGCATCTGTTGTGCAGCAGGATAAATATCTGATCCCTGAGCAGTTTCTATGGTTTTCTTCACATCTTCAACCTGCAGAATGACATAAAATGCTCATAATTTGAGAAAATATAGGCTATCAGTCCACCCATAAAATTTAAAGATCGCATATTTTTAAATACTATTATACAAATATCAGCAAATTTTCTCTCTTCAACCTAAAAATGAGCACCACACCACGATCTTCACAAAGGAAATTCCTTTAAATATTTTGTTCTATGTTAAAACATATTTTGTTCTATGTTAAAACATGTCACAAAAGCGAAGAACCCTGCCTTTATCCAATTCTAAATGTTATATCTATAAATGCTCCAACTGGATTCAGCCAATTCACACTCAATCAGATTTTAGCATCGTCTCAAAAGTCGGGGTAATACTCATTCAAATGATTAACACGTGTCCACATAAAATCATGTCTTATCAAGTGTTCATTTTTTGCCATGGAAAAGGGCATTATTTTAATTCTGTGATAGAAATAAACTAACAAATAACAGTTTTCAAGATTAAATCCCACAGCATTAATAGAAAATTTTAAATAAAAGACAATAGAAGTATTTCAACAGTAGGCAATATGTGCATGATTTGGAAGTTCTATGTCCTGACTTAAAAAGGCAAAAATTCAGGGAAATACAGCTAAAAGTTAAAATTAATTGCAAGTGGGTGGGGGCACTTGGACCATATAATAGAAAATAGAAAAGAAATTTTAAAACATCTGTGTAACAAGCATTTATTTATTTAGAAAGAAAAGAGAAATATGCATCTGAAAAACATTAATGTAAGAAAACAATAGGTGTTGCCGTTGCTCGAAGTGTGGATTTATTATCCACTTAAAAGATTTCACCAACAAAAATCAAAATTTATAAAAAAAAAAAAAAAAAAAGTTTTGTTTTTTTTTGGAAAAAAAAAAAAAAAAAAAAAAAAACGAGTTTACACATGGCTGGAAGGGAAATAAAAACCCCCACTGATAATAAATGGAAGAAAAACGTTTGGTGCGTGCGGTGTTGGCACATTATTCCCAAATTCAACAAAAACCAATCTGGAAAGTTTGAGTGAAAAAATCGGTGAGGTCGGAACTTCCAGTCGCCGCGAATCTCGACACCAGCGAACCTCCCATAAAATCTGACAGGTCTTGGCTCATTATCCCTAAAATCAAAGAAAAATGGTGGGGGTTGGCAAGCATTCCAAATCGAACCATTCGCGAACTGCATCGCTGCTGGCCGCTACGTACTAGAACACCGAAGTCGTCATCTTGCCAGGTATGGTTCTTCTAATTTTTTCTCCAAAGAGACTGTATTTAAAACATTTATCTAAGAGATCGTAGTAACAAAAGTAGGTTATGAAATTTGAAATAAGAAGTGCAACCAAAGAGGAGTTAGATTAAAAGTTTATATGGGGACAGTCATAAGGACCAAAGCAAATTTTAGTTCGGTCTAGATCAATAATACATCCTCGTGTCAATAAAGTTAGATATGGACAATTAATCCCACTTTTCACGAGACCCTGAGCTCTCAAAATTTAAGGTAAATTCCATCATTTCGGGATCATACGCACATTTTATTAATTTAGAAATTTTTTAAGATTTATATTCACATTTTGTTCCTGGAGAATTGCATTTTAGTTTAGTTATTGATATAGGGAAAAAAGCAAGTCTGATTATAACATTGAATAGATCGGTCTATTTTCAAATTCAAGAATTCGCTTCGAGAATTAGCTAATTAGGACTACACTGAAATTTTAAACCAACATCAATATTGGTCATCAAATAAAAGTTGTGTTCGTTCAATTTTTTTTCTAACTCACAATTTTGGTGAACAAATCTTATTGCCTAGATTTTGGTCATTCTTACCAATGAACAGAAAATTAGAAGATAGTTCGTCTGTATTTTCATATAGTTGCAAAAATAAACATTGAGGGAAAAAGAAAAAAGTAGATGAAAAGAAAAGAAAAGAAAGGTTATCTTAATTATGGCTCAAGTTTACAACGCATGATGTTAATGGATTGATTTGGTCTATTCAAGCAATTCCAATCTCTTTAAACCTAACCTACTAACAGGTTTTGACTCCTAAATGTTACCCTCTTGGACTGAAATTTTTTATTTTGGTTTGTTGCATTTACTGTATGGGTTCATGGATTTTTTAAGGTTGGTAATTTGCAATGGTGAGATTGTGTTGTTGTGTTCATTTGGTGCTTGAAACTGATGTTGGGTGGTTGATTGCTGTTGTAGAATAGGAGGAAAGAATTCCGGAATTTGTCATAGTTGCAGATCGAAGGGACATTTCTTCGATGAATGTCGAAGTAAGATCGCTGCCTTGTTTGCAAGAGTGGATTCCAGAAGTGCTTTGAGGTGGAGAGAGAGACCGATAACAAAGGAAAACTATTCAAATGCTGTAGTCGTAAATGCGATTTTTGGAGTGGGTTGGAGAAGAAGAATCAAGTGGTGAATCAAGTGCCGTCGATAGCAAGGCAAATCCTGTATCGAAAGAATCAGTGTCGGATTTGTCGTGCATGTTTCAATATCAAATTCATCTCCCCGACGAAGAAGAGGTCCAAATTTCGATGAATATGAACATGACAATTCACAACATGGAGAAGAATGAGAAATGAAAGTGGCCGGCTGCATTAGTAGCCCCATTTTTTAATAAACGTTGATGTTATGTATGTTTGCATTTGTACGACTCTTCGTAGTGACCTTTTGGGTTTGAAATTCGGCCCTCTCCATATTTCCTTCTTTTGGAAGGTCTTGTGGTTTGAAATTTAGTTCTTTCTAATTGTAGCTTTAAAATTCCCTTAATTTTTCTACTGGCATGCTGTAAGACAGAACCGATATTGATATCAATTTATTTGAGCTTGAATTGACTTAACTTTTATATATGGGTGAAAAATCACTAATTCTACAAATAGTGCTATTCATATATGGGAAGTAGAATTGAATTAATTTTTGATACTTATTAATATATTTGATTTGGCGTTCTGAGTTTTAATTTGTGAGTATGATACTTATTAAGGGATGATCTTGTGCCTTGCTGACTGTTGTGATTTGGATATGTATTTAAACAGCAAAACTCTTTGCTGGGATTTGTGCTACATAAATCAATGTGTGAAGTGTAAACTTCATTAAGATATTCCCATGTATTTTATAATTATGTGTCTGTAAATGTTAATCCTTTAATCCTGGATGTGTTCTGGCTGTCATTTTTTCGCGTGCTATCATTTTTCGTGCGACTTTTAGACCTTGTTTGTGATAATTATCAACACAAGTTTCGCATCTGTGACTTCGTAGGCTCATACTCGCTTTTCTTGAAACTGAAAAGTGGGTTTCTTTTCAGAAATTAGTTAAGTTACAAGGTTCAATATTGTTAAAAATGTTGCTGGCTTCTGTCCTTATAATCTGTGAAGGATGCAAAGTTAGCCGACACAAGGTCCCATTGATATGTGCTTTAAATGTGTAGAAACCTTTGGTTTGTTACAGTTATGGTAACCATAATAATAAAGAGTATGTAAATTAAAAGAAGATGCCCCATAATGCGTAAAGTGCTTTCTATTATTGAAGTGTGTATGTATCTGTTAAAGGTGACTTTTTTGGAGCATAAATTCTATCTTATTAAATGGATGCATAATTTATTATAATCTCTAGTCAAAATGTGCCTGTGACTTTTGAGTTTCTATGCAGAGAAAAACTTAATCTAGTGTTATTGTCCTGCTGATTCTCAGACACAGACAATTTATTAACCACCACTCCAAGCAGTCACAAGAATTGAATCATTGCTAACTAAATTGTACAAAAAGCCGACTGCCCGTCTTTCACAAACTCCTCTCTGAACTTCAGAATCTTCTCAAGACTATGATATACATTATGAAGAGGTTCCTAGAAATAATACACATCAATATTATAGTGATGTTGCATAAGCATCCAGATAAAAAATTTAAAATAGTAGCTGTAGGAAAGATACACCAGGACAAGGGAAAAGAGTGAAACAAGAACCTAATAAATTCAAAGCCTAAACTTTATTAAATATCTCCAAGTATTTTATATGAAAAGCAAAAAAATCCAGGCATGAATAAATCTGGAGGATACACTAAGCATCAACTCACATAAAAATGATTTCTAAGTTGTAGCATAAAGTGCTTAGTAAAATCATCTTTTGAATTATTGGAAACTATAGTAGAAATATGTGAAACAAAAATACAAAGAGTGATTAGCAGTTTTTGAGAATTTGCCACCTCGAGGACTGAAATGTTTGAAGTAGTATAAGATAGTTGAGGAGAATTTGCATAACAATTAAGTCTACATATAAATGATCAATTACAATACGATGACGTTGTTGGTATTGCATCTTGCTAATGTTGAGATGCTTGAAGTTCCTGTGTACCAATTGGAGTAGCACTCTGACTCGATTTTGGTCTCTTTCCTTTGCTCGATGTCAACGTTACCTGTATATCAAAACGAGCGTATGAGGATTTGTTCTAACAACTAGGCAGAATATGAATTATAATATTTTAAAATACCTTTACTTTCTTCGAACTCGACTCCAACGGGCTTTTACTTCGAAGTTTCTTTGGTACACCTTTCTTCTCGATACGACTAGTCCCATACGCTCCCGCTCAAGGTATTTTGCGATACACTATACTGAGTGCTTGATTGTACCGTACGATGTGCGAGGACATTACTAGTTGTACTCGTCCGTGTCAACGTAAGAATCGTACGCTGTGATTCGATCCACTCCATTATGGCACGAGTCTGCCCGTCGTCATCAGCAGCAAGGTCTGCCAACCCAGCAAAAGATGACACATACTGTCATATCTCACCTAACTAGGTGTACTAACCAACCCAGTGTAGTTCACAGCCACCTCGCGTGTGCTCTACTAACATCTCTTCTCCATCGTCTCAGTATGTACCTCTCCGGTATTGATGTGATGCAATTACGAATCAACACCGATATCGCATGCCTACAAATTATACCCCTGAACTCGAACAAGTGATAGATGCAAATGAATTAACAATTCTCTTTTTGAAATGAGACAAAAAAATATTTTTTTCTTCATTCGCTCGCCGCATGCCACAATTTCGCAGACCTCGTACATTGTCCCAAAACTATTTTCTGAAGTAGATATGAGGTCACAATACATCTTCCCTACAAACTCCTCTTGAACCTCCTTGAATTTTGAGATGGTGTAAACAGATTGAAATTGTTTCTCCATTTCAAACATACTTACGCATGATAGCATTTGTGAATATGATTTGAAATCAGCTTGAAATTCCTTTTCAACCTTATTTCGTAGTGCTCGCTCATATTGTTCCACATACTATTTCAATGAAGTCTTCGAATGTACATACCAGTCAAAAAATACATTCATACTCTCACTTCTTTGCGTTGTTGACATCCCAGCCTAAAAAATAGTTTTCAGAAAGCAAGGAACCCAATGCTTTATGTTCTCGTATAGTCCAGATAACCAATCATTTTCATGCAATTCAAACTTATTGATCATTGTGATCCAACCTTCTTCAAACTCTTCAACGAACTGGGAATCATACACCAATCCATGTATATCAGAAAATATAGAACCCTTATCAATATGGTACCCAAACTTCTCTGGCAACTTTTTCAAAATGTGCCATAAACACCACCTATGGTTTGTATTTGGAAAAACAATTTGAATTACGTTTTGCATGGCTCTATCCTGATCAGTGATTATTCCATGGGGAGCTATACCGTGCATGCACTGAAGCTATGACCTGAATAGCCACACAAAACTATTTGTATCCTCGTTCGAAAGCAAACCACAACGGAGCAGTGTTGATTGTCCATGGTGATTGA